TCATGTCATTAAGCAGACTACACATCAGCTCAAGTGTCATCTGCCTGCTAGGTTAGTCACTTGTGGCATAACCTCAGAACCTGTCACATGCTGTAGAACACACACCGCGTCCACAATAGACAGCAAAATACTGAAGCAAAGAAATGGTTCTGAGGGACTCTGCTCTGAGCCAAGTCTACACAGACTTTCTATAAAGAGCTACAGGGTGAATATTTTGGACTCTGTAGATTATATGTAGTGTCTGTCTCACAGCCTTTCTTCTTATTATTTTACCTTTAAAAAATATAAAAAAACTTTCAGTTGGAGGGCTGTACAAACAAAGCCAAGGTCTAGATTGGCCCATAGGCCGTAGTTTGTTGATCTCTCTTCTAGGCAATGATTAAGGCCCTGTTACAGAGTAAACAGTGCAACATTTCTGTCATGGGTCTGCTGTCACAGGGCAGAGCTTCTTTTTGTTCTTTCTTCATCTTGATCACTGCCACTATCATCATCCCCAATTACTGGCAAAACTTATGAGCTCTTAAGAAGTATAGGGCCCTGGGTTAGAGGTGATGGATACAAAGAGGTAAAAGATACAATCCTCTCCTTACCAGTCTTAGAATCCAGAAGGGGTGAGAGGGCTAAATTATAATATAAAGTGCCTTCTTCAATTACCAGAAAAGTACTGTGATATTATGTACTATAAAAGGAGGAGAAGAAATGAAATGCAGTAGAATGTTGATCTTTTGTATCAATATTAGAAAGCAATTAATAATAACTCAAGATGTCCTGCCTAGCCATGGATCAACGCAGCCTTTTCCAAGGTGCACTGGCCAGCTGTCCGCACAGTCGTGGCTCCATGCAGGCAGGCCTGGGGTAGGAGGTTGCATAGACTCTGAGAACTCTGAACACTAAGTGCCTCTCTAACCTGTCTGACAATGGAAATAAATAAACCTACACAAGTTTTAGGTGAGATCAGATAAGTACACCTCACTGAAGTCACCAGGGTTTCCCCAGAGCTCTTGTCTTCCAGAATTCATAGTCCACGTGCTCAGCACAGCTTGGCGCCACATGAGGGCCTCGCAGCAGCTGCAGAGCTCTGGCCTCCCAAGCTGCTGGTGTGCAACCTGCTCGGTGGTGGGAGAAACCCTCACCTCCCACTAACAGATTTCACTCTTCTCAGCTCTCCCTTGAGACAGGGAAAGCAGCCCAAAGTTTCCACTTCTAAGAACATCAGTGTACTAGTGAAATTTAAGTGTTTGGAGGATGGGCCAGAAGAGCAGATATAAGACCCCAATAACAGTGATCACTGTCCCTCTGTCCAGCTTGGCGGATGCCACTGCCATGCCAGAAGTGAAATGCCTCGAGGATGGGTAAAGAACCTCCATCTAATAATGGCACTCACATTTTAAAAAATAGACTCATGGTCAGAAAAATGCAGAAAGGTCAACTGACACTGTTTATGGCTTAATAAACAAAAGTACTTTCATCCAGTTTGGTACAAGAGCCCTTTGGTATGGTAGAATAACATGACAGCACCGTTCTACGAAGATAATCCTAGCATGTAATATCTTTCTTCCTACACCATGAACAGATTACAGCAATCACGATGTGCCTTAACCAACATATGAGTGACAATAATGCCACAAAATATTTGCAGTCAGATTTCTCAAATCAATTTCATATGAACAACTTTTTTTTTAACAATAACCACTGACAACAAAAACAAAGAACCCACCGATTCGACTTGACAACGCACCAGTTCCACTATTGGCTTCCCTGGAGGACAGGCATTATACTGTATAATGAGCTGAGGTGGCACAGGGACAAATAAGCCAGTGGCATCTTGAAGAGACAATGTGCTGCACCTGACCGTGAACAGCACACAGGGCACCCATGAGGAGAGCCATAGCACTGCCTGAAGGAGCTGGAAGAGACTTTACAGAGCAGGCAATTTTCACTGGGGCAGGAAGGATGAGCAGAACTTTGTTCACCAGATGAATTTGGTGGGGGTGGGGGAAACAGAACATAAGCCTACGTGAAAGGCATTCTTGGGTGGAGAAACCAGCAAGCATTAAGGCCCAAGAGCCTCAAAGAGCAAGGCCTCTTTAGGGCAAAACTGTGGTAGGGCCTAGCCGAGCATGTGTCACTGGGGACTGCCTAAGAAACAAGGCTGGGGTGCAGTTGTTGTGGCTCTGAATCCCTGCAAGCAAGGGAGTGAGCCCACCTCCTTCAGACAGAGCCCACTGCCCAAGGTGAGGAGCCAGGAGTAGAGGGCTGGACTACACTGTGGAGGGATGCACAGCTCCCCACTTCCCTCCAGGTCTGTGTGCAAAGTAACTGGTGCAGGGCAGCTAGCTGGCAGGAAACGGTGCTGCATTTCACTGTCTACAGAGGACTTCCTATCTGACTGATTTTAATATGTATTTCAGTTGAAACCTCTGCCAAGGGCAGATGGAGGAGGAAGCAGCAAAAGCCTCTTACTTTTCCTCCTATACCTGTTGGGTCTCCACCTGGCATTATGCAGTGACATCTGCTGCTCCTCCTTGGTTGTAGTGTGAGTCTAGTGGCCACCTTCTCACCTTCACGGTCCATCACATGCCATCGGAGTCTGAACTGCCTCCCAGGACCTGATTAGACAAACTGGTCTCTGCCTGGGACGTTCTGCTCACCGGTTCCCCAAACCTAGACTGCCCACTTCCTGGAATTTTCAAAGCCAACATGGATCCACTACTTGAAAATCTGCCCAATCACTCAGGTTCAGACTGCAGTTCAGTGGGCAGCAAACTCAAATTTGCCGAGCCCCTGTTTCCTCATTTATAAAATGAGATACTAATATTTACTAATAAGATGGTTGCAAGGCTTAAAGGAAATAAATTAACATACTGCCTGACATATGGCAGGTGCTTGATGGTAGATGATAAGTTAACATTTATTACTCCAAGTATTTTATGTATCCACTCATCTTCTTCCTACAACACTATAGTTATGAAGATAGATACTATTAATTCTTCCATGGTACAGCAAGGAAACTAAGGCACAGAAAAATAAAGCAATTTGCTCCAAGTCACACAGCTGGCAAGTGCGGCCAGAACTCCAGCACAGGCTATCTGGCCACTGGGGGCCCCGGGCTCTGTGCTCACCCTCCACCAAGCCGCTTCTCTCTTTGGACTTCCTGGTGGCCTCACTGATTCCGACCTGAGAGCACTATCAGGGGCACCTGACATAAGGAAACCTGTCCCAAAATATTATGTCCTGATTAAGTTGGTTAATTTTTCAAGTTTTTATAGCAGCCCAGTCTCCCTCTAAGTTCCCTGAGGACAAAGACTTTATTTTTTGCTTCTCTCAAATTACCCTCTTGGTACATTATATAATAATAACTATCGGCTGACAGATAACTTGCCTGATCTGCTTATTATCATCCCCAAATGCTTCTACCCATTGGCATTTACTGTTTCAAATCTATTTAACAAGTGTGCAGAGAAAAGCTCACATGGAAGGCCTCAGACTGCCATCCTTAGAAGGGCCTGCTTGCAAGGCTAGCTCTTGGTGCATCTGAGAACCTGGACTTTCAGGGAGTTGTGCCATCTAGCTGAGAAGAGCAGCTCCCTGTGACTAAGCTGGGTGTAAACAAAGTGAGCTGAAGGGCTGTGACGCCCAACCCTGCTTTCCTCCTGGCATCTGGAGTTCTGATATTGCCAGAGAGAAGGTGCCATGTGACCAGGTGCCAGTAAAATCCCTGGGTAGTGAGTCACTCCTGAGCTTCCCTGGTAGACCACACTTCACCCACTGTCACGAGTCACATGCTGTGTGACTCCCCTAGAAAGTGTCCTGGGAGCTCCTAAGTGTTCTGGTCTCATAAGGATTTTGTCCCATAGGCCCCCCCTTTGATGTTCCTCTCTGTATCTGTTCAATATGAGAATCCAGTCATGAGCAGAGCTGAGGCCAAGTCCTGGACCTGAGAGCACTATCAGGGGCACCTGACATGATATAAGGAAACCTGTCCCAAAATATTATGTCATGCTATCTTCTCATAATGTTCTAGAATATTTCCAAAGTTAGTTAAGAAGTGCTCAAGATTCAGAGTATGGACACAGTACTCACTGAGGTGTTTTATTTGTTTGTTTGTTTTTTGTACCAGAGATTGAACCTGGGTGTTCAACCATTGAGCTACATTCTCAGTCTTTTTTTTTTTTTTTTTTTTTTTTTGATTGATTGTTTTGGAGGTAGAGTCTTGCTAAGTTACTGAGATGGGCTTTGAACCTATGATCCTCTTGTGTCAGTCTCCCTGGCCACTGGGATTATAGGAGTGTGTTACCACATCCAGCCCACTGATGCTTTTCAGTCTCCATGATGGGCTGGGCTGCTGAGATGGCTGCCACTGTACACTGTGCCCAACATTGTAGGAGGCTGTGTGAACCCAGATGGGAAGGTGGACAGAGGCACACAGAGGTGCCACAGGAAATACTGGTGCCTGGTCTGCTACTTCTTGGCCGTGTGGCCTTGGACAAGTCAGAACAGTACCTGTGTGAAATGGGTGCTGAGCTTGAAAACAGGTGTGTGCTCAGAGCATGTGGCATCTCACAAGTACATGGGTCACACTGGCCTTATGGAGCAATGGTCACTGTGCCAAGCTCCTCCCTCAGGAAAACTCTTTCAAAGATAACAAGAAATATGTGGGGGACAGAGATTGGGGTAAAATGGCTTCATAGAATAATTAAGAAGCAAAATGGTAAGAGTACAAATTTCAAATCAATCCCAGCTCAGCTACCTCCAGACTGTGGGGCTATGGGTGAGTAGCCCAACCTGCTCAGCCTCAGCTGAGGAGAGTAACAGTACCTGTGAGCCAACAGAGCTGAGCATAGCACCTGGCACACAGCCTGCAGTAGGCACTAGCTAAGGCACTTTATAAAGAAATTCAATCTCAATATACATCACAGAGGAAGTGCTCTGTGAACTTGAGTTACCACTATTATTATTATTATTATTAACTGAGAAATACCAACAGAGGCCATACTTACAATCTCTTCTTATCCACCACTCGTTTAACTCGAATGGCTCTCTGTTCTGAGTAAAGTTTACACACTCCTGTTGAAAGGAAAATAGCAGAACAGAGACCATTTAAAATGGCTTCTCAGACAAAGGTATCATTAAATATAATGAGACACTACCATCTTCAGCTAGCAAAGCTGAATTCTGAATTCATCTATTGTGAAAGGCCACATTTGACCTTTAAGGAAAGATGAAATACTTTTTAAGTAATCTTGAATGAAATCCAGAACAGCAGTCCTGTGCTCCTTCACTTGCTGGGAATGTATCTCCTTGTGGGCTGTAACAGAAAAGACAACATTCAGGCTTCTGCATTCAATGAGCCTAAAAACAATGCATCAGATTCCCTTTCTTTATTAAAGGTATTTTTAAAAACACAACCACAGAGCAAGTCTTATGTAAGTGAAACTGTTTTTAACAGTAAGATAAGGCTTTGCCAGATGAAAGATTAAAGCCAGAGGAAAACTAGTCAAATAATTCATGGTTTATTATAGCACTCAGGGACAGTCCTTGATGCAGTCCCTTCTTAAGGACTGACCCCATGTGTACTGGCAGCATCAGTACCCACGCTGACCTTTAATAACATGCTGAAATCAAGCCTAAGTCCTAACACCCCCTCTGGGCCTGCACTGTGCTTTGGCTTGGAAAGCCCCAGCTCTTCCCAGTCTCACACTCCCAGGACCCCTCAACGCTGAGGTGAACTCTCCACTCTAGGAACCTTCCATGACGCCCAGTCACAGAGGTGCCTTTCCTGTGTGGACTACCACACAGAAGTCTGAGAGACTTAGCAGACTGAAGTCTGTACCCATTAGTCTGGTAAGACAACTGCCACTCATGGAGGGGACAAGTGCCTGCTGTATGTGGACACTGAGCTCACATCCTACACAGCCACCTTTTGAAGGGACCAGGTGGCGATTCTGATTATATCCACTTTCACATGAAGAAACTCAGGTTCGGAGGCCAAAAGGAGCCTCAGGTTCTGTGGTTTGATACTTAATGGCTGGTTTTATTAATGTTCACGTACGCTTTCTAGGCATCTCAATAAACGCAGAGGTGAAGAGTATAACCATACGTAGGGCTGCAGAGCTGAGATCCCACGAGGGACTCAGGGATTCTGTGAGACTGCACAGTGTTTTGTGTTTTCTAGAATGTCTACAGCTTTCACCAGACTCTCTTGATGGCCCATCAGCTCTCATGGAAGCTTCCCCAGGAGAAGTCTGTGTCTTGAACACACGGCACCCAGACACTTGGAATGCTAGATCATTTCATGTGCTCTACCTGTCTAAACACATTTTAAAAGATGTGGTGAAGACCCATAGCTTGGGAAGGCATCCCAGTGCTTCAACCAGAATGAGATTGGGCAAGAATGAGGTGACAATGGCCCTCTGGTGCCAGGGTCGGCTCTAGGAATCTAGCTCAGTTTTCATAGTAATGCTGAGATGCTTTCTATAATCACTTGCATTTTACAGAGGAAGAAACAGGCCCAGGAAGATTCAGTGACTTGTCTCAGGCCACAGAGATCAAATATGGCAGAGTGGGGATGCCTCTCAGCAGCAACAGCTCAGATCCTTCCTCTTGACTACAAGAGAGTGACACCAGTTTACTACTGCTAGGGCAGGTGGAGCATAAGCTGCCTTCTTACTTTATTATCCACATGCCAGCCAACCTGCCCCACTAACTGCCACACACTGCAGGCACTCGTGGACATCACACACGCACGTATGCACACATAAAATTTGCCTTTTCTGACCTTGGCCCCTTAGTAAATTTCTGGTTCTGTTTGATGAGGTCCATCCATCTCCTTCCTCCCATCTGTTTAACTTGAGTGGTGGCCTATTTGTGATTCTGACTGGCTTAGTTTGTTAAAACATGGATCAGGAAAGATTCTGAAGTTTTAAACTCTGACTCTCAGTAAGAACCTAAGAGGGACTGTGGGTGGTTGCTCTTCATGAATCCTGTTGAACTACTTGACACATCCGTGGCTGGCTGTTTGCATCTTTCAGAGCACTTTACCTTCTGTTCTGAGTTGCTGGATTGCTTCTGAACAGGTCCGCATGAATATCTGAGCATCCTGGTCTATCTGGTCACGTTCTGCATCTGTCATCCTCCCATATTCAGACATGATATGGCTAAATAAGGACAGAGGAAGAAAATAAGAGGGAAGCAGAAAATGACAACCCAAGGGAGTGTGGGCAGGGGGAAGGGAACAGCTTCCCTGATCCACTGACACCAAGGCTGAGACCTGGAGGAGAAGGAGGAACCGGCTGGGCTGAGAAGTGGGAGAAAGACCTAGAGGGTGGCAAATGAAGGCTGTGAGGCAGAAAAAGCTTCCCAAATAGCCCCAACTGCAGGTCAGTTAAGGGAGGGAGAGACAGATGGTTTAGGCAGAAGCCTGCGGGGCTTGGAAAGAACAGAGGACTTGACTTTAGAACATTTGGGGGCTCCAAAATGGCTTTGTGCAACCCAATGACTGGCAGTTCATCCTGGGTACTGCCTGGAGAATAGGACAGGGAATGGATTTGGGGTTCTTGAAATATCTGTGAGAAACTGGTTTGGGATGCAGTCCTTTGATGTTAACAAACAGTCTTCACAACTCACAACAAAGGTGCTTCAAGAAAAAATATAATTTCCTTTGATATTAAATTACACCATCCTAAAATTGCCACTTTTAGTTACACAGCAGCTTGAAGCTCAAAATATGGTAGTTTTATTACAGCGCTCATGGTTGTAAGAGCCGGGCAGGAGCGGCAGCATCATTACTAATGGTGATGCTGCTCAGTCCAATTCAACACTCTGGACTCCACATGAAATTCAGAATCACAATACAGCAAATTAAAGGGACCTTACAAATGCATCGGTGCTAGCCACCAATTCTCACTGAGGGCAAAACGCCAAGTCCTGGTCATCCCACACCTACCCATAGCCTCGCTTCCTGTGGCTCACCCCTCAGGCACTTCACACTGGCCACATACTGAGCAGCAGCGGACCAAGCAGGCTCCTGCCTCCCCTCAGACTAGGCCTCTGCTTGGATGGCTGCCCTGGGTCACCTTTCCTGACCGTTCCCCACAACACCTGTCCCCCCAAGTTCCCCACAGCACTTGTCTAACATCTTCCCACCTGTGCTGGTCAGATTATTGTCTCTCAGTGTCAAAGCTGCCCTCTGCCTTCTCTGCTTTGTGACACGGAAGCAAGCTAGGACTCCCAAACCCACTTTACTGCCATCTGTTCCTTATCCTGCTTTATTTTTCTTTATTGTATTTATTATTCCCTGAAAGAGTAAATATTTATGTCTCTCTGCTGTCAGCAGAATGCAAGCTTCACGAAAGTAAGGACTGTGTGTGTCTCGTCTGGTTTTGTTTCCCTAGCACCCAGAATGGCAGCTGGCACAGTGTGGGTACACTAGTATGAGCTGAGCACTTACTATACGCCACATGCTATTCTCAGTGTCTTACAGGAACCCTATGTACGTATTTAGTCCTCACAATGTATTCATTCACTGCCTTATATACCGAACCTACATATGTCAGGCACTAGGCCAGGGGCTGGGGGCTCAAAATTGAGCAAGTCTCAGTATCAACCCCTACAAAGGGTACTGAACTATAGGAGTGATTGACACAGAAACAGGGAGTACAAGGAACTGTAGTGAATGGTGCTGGTGTGGGGGGTGGATGTGGAATCCAAAGTGATAGTGGTCAGTTCATACAGGAAAAGGAAAGTACCCACACAGAACATAGCAGGGAGGACCAGCTTCAAGTTTCCCAACCTTCAGATGGTGCTCAGAGTAACCATGTCACCTGTGCTCCACACCAGAGCACATCTGAGCGAAGGGGGAAAGGAGTAAACAGGCTGGTTCCATGGAAACCAAGCAATAGTGATGGACCTCTGGGGCACCAAGGGTCACTTCAAAGGGGCAGCACATCACACACATGTGGTCAGTATCTCTACATCAAATGTGTCTAGCATTATGTCTACACTATTTTTTAAATAAATATGGATGGTATTATGATGAGTATGTATATATGTATTTAAAATTGTTACTCTGTAATAGCTGTTTCTCCAATATCAATAGGTTTTCCAAAAACACAGTGGTCATACAAAATACAAATAGTCCACCGTCAGTTGAATCAGGGTCCCTGCAATACCAAAGCTGGGATCAAGGGTGTATTTGATGGAAATAGCCACTGGAGGATTTTACACAGGGGAATTTGCTATTTGCATGGTTCCTCTGTGTGGGTGGCCTGGAGGCAGATGAAACCACGTGCCCTCAGCCCTGGTTAAGAGACCACTGCTAAAAAAAAAACCTAAGCCAGGTAGTGTCTATGGGGGTGAGGACAAATCTGAGGCCTAGATTGCCTGGGTACAGAGGCAGATAAGGAGCAGTTAGAGGGAGTTCTGGGTTTGCCTGAGGGCATGCAAAGCCATAGAAACAGAAGAGGGCACAGGTTTGGAAGTGTTAAGGTGCTGGGCCACATACAGGAACTCACACAGGAGACAGACTGGCTGGAAAAGGGAGTCTAACTCAATGTTCCCATGATATTTCAAGAACAGCAGTAGGTCTATGGTGGGCACTTGAAAACAGTCATCAAAGTAATGAAGGTTGCTGATGATGCAGCTTCAAATTAGGTTCTAACAAAATTACTACTTTTTTAAAAAGGTTAAATATCCGTCAAATATTTCCAGAAATATATCCTCATAGGATATGCACATATAAATTTATCAAAGTTTAATTTTATTTTCTTTATTATGTACAGAGAGATAATTTTATTAGAGATCTCAATTTCTCTAAAAATTAGACTCAATTAAAGGGAACTATGTTGGATATCAGTTTAGATTAGGCAATTACTTTAGGGAGAGAGGAGGAAAAAAACTGGATGGTAAGTTTATTCCATAGTTCAGAAATTTAAAGGAACATTTATTTTTGTTATTTTGTTGACTAGTATTGTAAGAAAGGACAAGTTCAAAATAACCAAATACCATGAAGTTCTTCTATTATTTTTTTAAGTATTTATTTTTTAGTTTTTTTAAGTGGACACAATATTTTTATTTTATTTTTATGTGATACTGAGAATTGAACCCAGTGCCACACACATACTAGGCGAGCACTCTACCACTGGTGCCACAACCCCAGCCCTGTCTATTAATTTATTATACAATTAGAGCATTCCTGAGGATAGAGAAGAAGAGAATGTTTAAGACACTGTTGTAAAGGTTCCTGAAAAGGTATGGGTGGGAAGTCATATACTACAACCTGATTTTTACTATAAATACTAAATCAACAGGTTAATTTTATAATGCATATTGGGCATGTACTATGTATATTATGAAATGAATCTACCCAATATGATTTATGAAATTAAAGTTACTCTCTAAGACATAGAACCAAAATATAGACCCTGTTTTCAATACACTGTACTACAACAGGTAACACCTAAGGCTGATGTATGTGTTCATACAGCATAAACAAAGGCTGAGGCTATGGACACTTCTCATCACCAACACTAACCACTGTTCTGGGCTTCACATATATTTGCTTACTAACTTCCCCAAACTCTATGAGGTAGGTACTACTATAAATTCCCATTTTACACATGCAGCAACTGAGGCACAGAGAGATTACACAACTTGCAAGGCTATCCAGCAGTCATCAGCAGAGCTGGGGTGTGACCCTGGGCAGCTACTCTGATCTCAGATGTTACAACTCTCTCTAAGGCATCTCTCATGCCATAAAAGGCAGAAGAGTTCAGAAGAGTGTGCACTTACTCTCCTGAGGACACCTATAAACTAATCTTGAAAGGCAGGTGTGGCCATGAGAGGCAAGAGTAGAGCCCTGAGTTTGAAGAACCGTGAGTGGTTCAAACTGGCTGGACATAGGACAGGTGGAAGGGATGTATCCTTGGTGGCCTTCAGTGAGTCAGAGTTTTATTCTGTGGCCAATGGAAAAGCTGAGCTTGGTAAAGATAACTGTGGGAATACCATGCTGGAGGAACCATGAGGAAGATCCAGTCCTGGGTTGATGAGGTTAAGCACAGAATCTTGTCCTATTTATCTTTGTATTCCTAGCATCATGTGATAGGTATGGGCTCAATAAATTTTTGTTCAAATAAAATTTAAGAAGGGGAAAAGGGAGGTGAGTGATTGGGAAGAGGAGAAGGATCCAAGATGTAAAACTTCCAGTAATTAAACTGACATTGGAAGTGAAGTATTAACAGAACGTGAGATCTAGGGCGTAGGTGAGCAAGAGGCAGAGTAAAGACACAGACCCAGAAGGAATAGAAGAAAGCACTGGAAACTGAAAGGAAGGAACTAATACTACCATTTGTCCTTATGATACAATTTTAGAAAGATAAGAAATAATGCTCTTGAGACCAAATGTTCCATAACCGATTCTTTGTTCTGAAAGAACAAAGTGTGGCAAACGGTCTTTCAACCATTTCCTGTTAAAATATTGAGAAACTAAAGGAGATTCTAAAGTTCTACAATTTATTAAGGGGAAAGGGAAAAGTTACTATGACATACAATGCAAGGGCCACAAACCTAAGCCTGAGCTGAGGATAGCTCTGATGCGAGTAAATGCTCGCTAGGGCTTAATAAGCTGAAGTGAGAAAAACCTTTGTCAGCAAAGACTGCACAGCAGACAGCCTTCATATATTGGGCACTCAGAGCAACTTATCTGCTTGGGTCTTGTTTAATTTATCTGGTTTTGTGTGTTCTAATCTCAGGGCTACAAGGCAGGCCTGGCCTATAGGAAGTAAGGAGTAGAGGCCATGAGAGAAGAAATACTTGGGAGTCAGGGGCTGATATGGCAGGAAGTAAGGAGTAGGGGCCATGAGAAAGAAACACCTGGGAGTCAGGGGCTGATATGGCAGGAAGTAAGGAGTAGAGGACATGAGAAAGAAACACTTGGGAGTCAGGGCCTGATGTGGCCAATAGCAGAAAAAGAACCAGTACTGAACGTCTTTCCAGGTAGGTGAGCCTAGGATCAAGTGGGACTCAGACAGACAGATCGAGATACTGCCTTACTGGATCGCTCTCCTAAGTGGCCCCCTAATGGCACCTGGCAATAATGCTGGTGCCTTTGCTTGCCCCTCTCCTAAATGACCATTCCACATCTTTAGTCTCCTCAACTTGC